AAGCTATTTGTAAATCATTGTCTGTTCACGAAATTGAGCTTACACAAGTTTATAATACTAAATTAATTATATTTACAAAGTTGCATAAAGTAGCTATTATATGAACAAACTAACATGCATATGTGATATTTTTTTACAATATATAGCAGTGTATTAATGTGTATGTATCGACAATGGAGGATGTGTATATACGTATAAATATGTACATATGTTATGCCTCTTAAGATGTTAACATGTTTATAGAATGGGGACCGTAACAAGAACCACTTTTAAACAAACTACTTAACAATTTATATATAAGACCACTAGTTAACCACCATTAACACGTATATTATCTTTCTAGTGTTTGTTAATTATAATAAAGAGATTCGTAAGGTAGTTAAGCCATCCTGGCATAATCGTCTTAACCAATGACATTGTGATTGTATGATATGTATAACTCTAATGATGTCATCAATTATGTAATGTTCAAGACTGTTTTCAAATTTATAGTATACCTATAATAGTTCTCAAGTCTCAACTAGCTCAATTTCATAAGAAAATGCAATCAATACATCAGTCTATATGTACAAATTGATACACTTTGATTTGTCAAAAATATATAGAATCATCAAATCAGAAAATCATCCATTTACATTTTGTAATTCGTTTTTCAAAGAGATATATGATTCGGAGAAAAATGTAATTTAACCTTTGTATACGAGAGAAAAAATGTAATGCATAATCAGATATCAATATTATATATCTGAATTATTAACAATAAGGCTATAATTTGTAGCCATTACACACACATTTTGCCTATCAGTCCAAACAAAATGTGGAAAGAAGTTGTACCTATAATATACTCATTTTTTAGCTGCATTAATACACTTCCCAATCATAAAGGCTAACCGTCCCTGGCTTAAAATAATAGAATGAAAACAAAAGTTTTTTTGAATTTGACACTCCATAATCATAAGTTATATAACAACATATTCATAAGTTAAAAAGAATCCTATGGAAAAAAAAAGGTGTATTTGACACTGCATATTGTTTACAGACCATATATCCTGTTGCATACATACTGTATATGTTGAACATTGCATTGATTTTTGACCATACAAAATTCTACATTATTTGCAATAGCATGTTGTTTTCTTAGAAACACAATCATCACAAGACGTGCCTCGGTTAAACAAATTACGTAATTTCACGATGGTACAAAATCGAAAAAGATAAATATCGATCCATCATTGAAGTATAACATGTATTGAGAAATAATTGAAACTCGTGTATAATTCATCAAAGCTCTAACTAACATGATGCACCACTATGAAATTCTTGACATGGCCAAACATGTCATTATGATCAATATTATAGGCTCCATTCCTAAAGTTTCATTTCTGGCAAACAATAATAGACAGAGAATCTAGTAAAGAAAATAAAACGTGAAGTATATAGTAAGAAATCATTGAACATGCATGATTACTCAAGAGATGGGTGATGAAATAATGCAATCATTCGTCATATATTTTGACGATTTCATAAAAGATAAGATGAGCATATGACAAACCACAATGATGTTACAAAGTCTCCAATAGTTTCGTGATCTTAGTTTTATCGGTATAAATATCTCTGTTTATATTTTTTTATAAACTTTCGTTTAAACATGCATGCATGTCACAAATGTAACTAAACTAAATCTTCAAATCCCTTAAAAATATGTAAGAATTTATGAGAAAACTAGAATGCATGGACTAAAAGAAAACGTATATATCATAGTTGATTGAGATTATTGAAGACTAAGGAATAGTAGTAGAATCATTAGTCCAATTAAAACTTTCCTAAGTAGTCAAGTAGATTAMWTWATTMAMATCGTTRWTTGGKYWMAGATAAGATAATGTAGATTTAAGTAAAAGAKTATTATTAACGAAGAGATTGTACATACAAATGATGAAATGAGAGATAAGCCTAGCTAATAAGGTAAGAGCAATTACAAGAGATACGATTGAGATTAGCTAATAAGGTAAGAATGTAATTAGATGAGATATTTAATTGATACATGAACATAAGAGAGAATATGTAAAAGGGGAAATTGTGCCAGCTATTAAATTGAAGTATTAAAACTTTCTCTCAGGTCAAAGCTGTCA